AAGAACAAAATTCTACAAGCAGTTAGAGAAAAGAAACAAATCACATACAAAGGAAAGCCCATCAGAATCACAGCAGACTTCTCAACACAGACCCTCAAGGCAAGAAGAGCTTGGAGTGACATATTTCAAAGCCTAAAGGAAAACAGCCTCCAACCCAAATTGATGTACCCTACAAAACTATCTTTCAAAATGGATGGAGAAATAAGATACTTTCATGACAAAGAACACCTTAGGAACTTCATGAATACAAAACCAGCAATCCAAAAACTTTTAAACAATATCCTAGGAAAAGACAAGGATCACAACCCCAGGAACCACAGCAGAATGAATCCATTGGGCACAACAAGAAATTAAATGCAAAGGGGGAAAACACAACAACAAAAAAAGAAAAAGTTGTGACTATGATAAGTCAATACATATCAGTTATAACTGTCAATGTTAATGATCTCAATTCACCAATCAACAGAAATAGACTGGCAGAATGGATCAAGAAGCAAGATCTAACAATATGCTGCATAAAAGAAACACACTTAATTAAAAAAAAACTCCTACATTAAAAGTTAAGGGTGGAAAACAACACTCCATGGACAGGAACCCTGCAAAAAAGCAGGAATAGCTATCCTCTTTGCAGATCAAGTGGATTTCAACCCAACACTGAAAGAGACAAAGAAGGACTTTACATCCTTGTAAAGGGAACAATCCAACAGGAAGAGAGGACAATCACAAATATCTATGTACCAAACATTAGTGCACCCAACTATATAAAACAAATACTAATGGACATGAAAAATCATATATGCACTAATACAATAGTAGTGGGGGACCTCAATACCCCATTGTTGCAAATAGATAGATCAACTAGACAAAAAATAAACAACAAAATACTAGAACTCAATTAAACTCTTGAATAAATGAATTTAATCAGATGTTTACAGAGTGTTCTACTCCACAAAATCAGAATACACATTCTTTTCAGCTGCTCACAGGTTGTTCTCCAAAATAGACCACATATTCACACATAGAACATGTTTAAGTAAGTGCAAAGGAATTGAAGTTATCCTTTGTATATTATCAGACCACAGTGCGATGAAATTGGAGATCAAGAGCAAAAGATACCACAAGAATTTCATAAACACATGGAAATTGAACAACACACTTCTGAATAACCAATGGGTCACAGAGGAAATTAAAGAAGAAATCAGACAGTTCCTACAATTAAATGACAATGACAGTACAACATATCAGAATCTATGGGACACAATGAAAGCAGTCTTACAAGGGAAATTCATAGCAGTGAATAGTCAGGAAAACAGAGCTAGCCCAATTAAACAACCCGAGGCTGAACCTCAAGCTTCTAGAAATAGAAGAGTAGGACAAACCCAAAGCTCATACAAGGGAGGAAATTTTAAAGATAAGAGCAGAAATCAATGCAATGAAGAATAAGAGAATGATACAAAAAAATCAATGAAGCCAAGAGTTAGATCTTTGAAAGAATTAAAAAATTGACAAACCTCTAGCCAACCTTTTCAGAAAAAGGAGAGAAAAGGCCCATATCCATGCAATTAGGAATGAAAAGGATGAAATTAAAACAGACCCAGAAGAAATCCAGAGGCTCATCAATACCTACTTCGAGAACCTATACACCAATAAGATTGAAAACACAGAAGAAATGGACAGATTCCAGATATGTTTGAATTACCAATGCTGAATGAAGAAGACCTAAAAATTCTAAACAACCCAATATCAATCAATGAAATTGAAAACATAATTAAAAACTTACCAATCAAGAAAAGCCCAGGTCCTGATGGCTTCACTGCTGAATTCTACAAAACATTTAAAGAGGAACTATTGCCACTACTGTTTAAAATCTTCCACGAAATTGAAGGGGAAGCAATACTCCCATATTAATTCCTGGAAGCAAGCATCACCTTGATCCCCAAAGGAGAGAAAGACCCAACCGAAAAAGATAGCTATAGGCCAATCTCACTAACGAACATAGATACAAAAATCATTAATAAGATACTGGCAAATAGAATGCAGAAGATGATAAAGAAGACCATGCACCCTGACAAGTGGGATTCATCCCAGGGATGCAAGGATGGTTCAACATATGCAAATCAATCAATGTAATGCACTATTTCAATAGCGCCAAGGACAAAAACCATATGATCATCTTAATAGATGCAGAAAAAGCATTTGACAAAATCCAACATGCATTTATCATAAAAACCCCACAAAACATCAGAATAGACGGTCTTTACCTCAATCTGATAAAAGAAATCTATGAAAACCCAACAGCCAATATCATACTAAATGGTCAAAAACTGAAATCCTT